GGATCAGACCTTTACATCCGACCCTCCCCTCCGTTTGCCCCCAGGCCCTTTGGGAGCTGGCAAAGCAGAGAAATTTCAAAAAAAAAAAAAAAAAAGAGAAATTTCGTGAGTCACCCTCGGGAGGCACGGTTGGCTGCTCTGGAATCCAGGACGACCCTACACACAGGGCCGCGCTAGCACATACAGCATCACACACTGGCACACTCACAGTCACACTCGTGCGCTCACTTTCATACTCAGGCACACGATACAGCACACATCACCATCGTACTCTTACCCACATATGACACTGACACACAAATCCATGCACATTCACACTCACACTGATACCCTGACTCACATATGCACATTCACATACACGCGCAGACTGGTGCCCAGTGCTGTGGGAGTGGCATCCTCGCATTTCACACTAGTAGAGAGGAAAAGTCCACATGTCTCTCAGCTCTGCTTTCTACCGCGGGCAGCAAACAACCAGCTTCCAGCTTTGAAAATGACCCACTTTCTAGCACTGCCTGCAAAAGCCAAGGGTAGGTGTGTACTGCAGGCGTGAACTAAAAGTCCCTTTCCCTGACAGCAGTGGGGCCCACAGTTGGACGTTTCCTAACTTCAGTCACGGACTACATGACCTTGGGCAACCCCCTTAGCCTCTCTGTGTTACAGTTGCAGATCTATAAGATAGCAGCCATAATCACAGCTAAGGCTAAGAGTTGTTGTGAGCAACAACTTAATGAACCCTTAATGAGGCAGTGATGTAACACAGTACCTGGCACATGAGAGGCTCTGATACGTTTTACCAGTCTTGTATTTAATATTTGTTCTATCACAGTTTCCCAAATCAGAAAGGCCTTACTTTTGCCTGTGATTGTGAAACCCAGAGTTACCCAGGGGCCTTTCCAACTTCACCTCGTGTGGAAAAGCAGCATCCCAGGGCTGGAGAGCCGCGGTCCCTTCCTAAGTGGGGCTCGAACCTTATTCCCTCGCAGAGCTCTGCCTGCACTAGAGAGGAGGTTGGGCACAGGCCAGATAACCCTACTTACCAGATCCAGGCCTCCTCTCCTCCAGGTTATGTAGGTCATCCATATTTTGCGGCCCCAACTCCTTTGGGCAAAACACACATAGGTGGAGGTAACTTTTGGCGGGGCCATAGCATCATCACAGGGGGCAGGGGTGGTCCTGACTTTTCTGCCTAGATTGTTGTGGGGCCTGCTCCAAGTCTAGTTTACAATAGAGTGTGGTTTGGGCATTAGGGGTTCTGCAAAAAAGGAAGCTCTATAATCCTGTGTCCCTTCGCATGTCTGCATTGTTTTCCCAGGCTAGGAAGGACTGGGCTGAAGACCGCTGACCCGCAACTCTAAAGCAACCGCTGCCTACCAATTCCCTTCCCTCTCCCCCCACCCCGACCCCCACTCCAGTTCCACATTCCGTGGGGTTTTTCGAGTACCAGGAGCTGGTGCCAGCCTTCTTCCTGCGGTCGGCTGTGCCCTCCCCTCCTTTGCGCGCACTCCCCTCCCCCCTCCGAAACCAGCGGGGAGAGACGGGGCAGTAAATTGGCTGGTGTCGAGGATCTGCCGCAGACAAGATGATTAAGAGGCCTACGCCGGAGCGCCCGGGGCAGGGAATGTCAGCCCAAGTTGGAATCACGCAACAGGCCTTGGCATGAACCGAGCATGGGAGCCGCCGGGAGGGCGGGCGGCCCCTCTCCGGGGTGGGCCGAGGCCCCACAGACTCGCCGGAGTCACCGAACCTGGCACTCGGCGGCGGCGGGGTCGGGCCGGGCCAAGTCGCGCCTCTCCCCGGGGAGCCCGCAAAGCCGAGGGCAGGAGGGTGCCCGGGCCAGGGGAAAGGGGCGTTTCCGCAGCCCCAGAGAAAGGCCCAGAGGAGCGAGCTCAGGGCAGGGACGCGGCCGCGTCCCAGAAGTGAGGGGCGGGACGCAGAGGGGTGGGCGCGGAGAGAAACAAAGCGCGGCCGCAGGAGGCGGGGGCCGGCTCCAGCCCCGCCGGGGGCGACGCGCTGGCCGTCTTTCTCACAGTCCCGCCCGGAGACGCGGGGCCCTGTGATCAGCCCGCCGCCGCCGCGCAGACACGCTCCCCCCGCGCTCCACTGCGCGCCCCAAAGCGCGGATGAAAAATGGAATTGGGAAGCAGCGATCTCGACTCCCTGCACTGGGAAACCAGCCGCGCTCGGAACACACATAAATCTTCATTGTAATCCCCATCCATTTGCTCGCGTAAAATATCAGGCCGGAGACAGGATGTGACAAGCGCTGGGAAGCGAGGGGAGGAGGAATCGAAGAGTGAGGGGTGCCCGGCCCTCACCGCTCCACCCTCTGGCAGGGCTCTCCGCGCTCGGGCACAGCGATTGTACCTAGGGTTGGTGCCAACTGCGGGCAGCCGGGGTGCCTCCGCGTCCTCCTCCCGTCCCAGGCCCGCGCGCCCTCGCCGCTGAGCTGGGACGGGGGGGGGGGCAGAAACCCCTCGGGCCACCCGGAATTCCTGCCGCCCGCCCCCAGCTCCGGGGCTGGGGAGGGCAGAAAGGAGAGCGATCGGACCCAGGGCCTAATCAGCCTTGCTGCAATGTGGGACCGTTTAGGAAGCTTCCCCTCGGCCTTCTTGCAGGATCACTTGGGAAAATTGTGAATATCCGTCCTGAGTAAGGATTTCCGAGACTGATGGGGCGAGTTTGGGGGAAGTATCAGGTTTAGCGGGGGCGGAGAGAACGAGAGAAGACTGGAGCTTTGTTTACAAACAATTCTGGTGTAGAAGACGTGGGGGAGGTAGAGAAAGAAGCCCAGAGGTGATCCTGTGGTTCCCTGAGCTATTAGAGCCCACCACCACCCAAGGAGAAGGATGTGGGGACCAAAAGGTCCCCTTGCCTTTCAAAGCGCCAGTCTTACAGACAGCATAAACCCCGGGCGGGCGTAACTCTCCCACTCCTGGAGCCCCCAACAGGCGCTCAAATCCCAACCGGCTCCATTCCCTGCGGGAACAGCGACCACCAGTGGCTTTAACCTGTTTGGGGTCAAAGGCTCCTTTGAGAATAAAGCTACAGCTCTCTTTCTTCTACAATACAGACAGGTCCCTTGAATTCGACTTTGGGGTCCTGGGTCTTAGGACCAGTTGAGTGGGGTGCTAACATATCCTGTGCCCCTGGAACTGGAGGACTGAGCTATTCCGAGACTAGCTGGACAGCTCAGGTTGTGACACTCAAAGCAGCCCCGAGGAAGCCTCCCTGCGGCCAGATTTCTCTCCCCACCCGGGATCTGCCGGGAGAGCCGCCCCCAGCCCAACACGCACACACGCACACACACACACCAGGGCAGGCGGTCGCGCAGGCCTCGCATCCCTCCAAGGACCCTACCCCCACTCCTTCGGGAGTCCCCCTCTCGGGACGGGTTTGGCAGTGATTGCCACATTACAAGATGTTACATTCCGCCTCGGGGCCTTGGGGCTTGTGGGGAGCGAGTGTTTCAGGAAAGACGGTTCGTTTCAGGGTAAAAAAAGAGCAGACAGGTCCTGGAGGTGCAGCCTCTTGGCGCCTCCACGTGAGATCGAAGGCACAGTCTCCAGACAGACCTTCCTTCCGG